CTTGAAATTGGCTCCAGGTCGTAAAATAGCGCGCACCAATGCGCTTGTATTAGCGCGTGTATTAGGGCTCGCGTGCGGATGACCGCGAACAACTAATATTCAAAAACTAATGCATAGTTCCTAGTACTTCTGGTGAGTTTTTTGTCGTTTGTTTGGTATTTTAGATCTCTTTTTTGTTTTCTAGTAGTTTTTAAGGTTGTATTGTTGTAGTATTTGGCATTATCGAACTACTCCTACCCCAGTCTGCCGAAATCACCTGTATTACCTGTGCATCACCTGTGCTCCCGTTGATCATCGAGTTCCTCGAGCGGGCGCCAGTAACGTCTCCATTCGTCCCTGCAACGTGCAAGAGTTGCCCAATGAACTCTCTCTGCTCGAGGGACACGATGAACTTCATACCATTCGTTCAGAGCTTTCACGAAGAAGTCTGACCATCGCATAGGCGGTCGTCCAGGCGTTCGCTTGACATCCCGTGGAATCCAGTCGGTGATCGCTCTGGTCCAGCGGTCGTCCTCGAAACGCATGACGTGTCCGGCCCACCTGATCTTCGAAACCTTGGCAAATGCGGCGGCGTCTCTGATCTTCGATCGTTGGCGGAGTGCGGAGCTCCGGATTCCCTCTCTCACTTGCGTGTAGCGGGAAACTCCGAGCATCGCCCTTTCGATGGCGCGTTGAATAACGCCAACCGCATGCTCATCCTGCTTTCGTAGAGTCCAAGTCTCTGAGGCGTACGTCAAGGCAGGAAGGACCGCGGAATCGAAGAGGTGGGCACGGAGCTTGGTGTTCTTCGTCTTCTTCGCTACTCCCTCGATGTTCTTGAAGGCTCCCCAAGCCGCTCGCTTCCTCCTGCTCAGCTCTGGAGCTAGGTCATTCATCATATTGATTTCACGACCTAGGTACACATAGCTAGAGCATTCAGAGAAGTTCAAGTTTTCAAGTTTAACAGCAACAGCAATGAGAATGAATAGAAAGTTGAGAAATGTCGAATGTGCAAAGAATTTGCTACGAGGAGGATCCGACCCACAAAGTCCATTATCGTCGTCCCATCCAGAATCCATCGAGTTATCCGCTGCGCCATCCGATCCGCCGACAGTGAGCATGAGGGGACCGCTGACAAAAACATCACTGTTGCGTCGGTGCATGCCAAGTGTGTTACTACATTATACTTACACCAGTCTGGCTGGCGCACACTACTGCGCGCCTGACACTATAGAGAAATGCGAAAGATTTATCATAGTTAATGTCAATTTCTCTTCCTTTCTCATGTTACACTCATTGCTCTTTTCGGGGGTTCTGTTGCACACGTTTACTCTAAGTGAGCCTCCACGATGGCTATTTTTGTGTGTCATTGTGTTTCAGCAACACTTTCCCTCACCCATATTCAATGTCGTCCTCACACTACACTCTTTCTTCGCCCAGCGTAACACCATAGTTGGTTTTGGAAACATAGGAATTAGGCTAAGTGTTAGTGCTCAGCACAGGAAATCCTGTCAGTTATCAGTAACATAGGTTTAACCATGCGCGCAGAAATGCGCGTCAGCCAGACTGGTAATCTCTAAAAGTGAACAGTGCGGAAGAGAGGTGGTTAGAAAGCAAACAGTGCCTGTGAGGTACAGTACCTTTCAGCATTTAACCGCGGATTACACACCCCACATAAATCAAACTTTCTCGGGTAATCACGGCTTATTGAAGGAAGGCTCATTGAAAAGATGCAAGATGCTTAATCAGATTGCGAGGCATGTTGAGCAATATGGGCTGGTTGACACTTGGTTCCTGCCGCCCCATTAAAGCTTAAAGCAGTTGATAACTACCTGAGAAAAATTTGCTGTTGGAATCCACCGCGCGCAATTAAAGCGATTGGAAAATGTTGGCTGAGATTCAATGATGTCTTATCATACTTCTACATCAGCATTCCCGGTCATATCATCACTTTGCCGATGTCTTTCTGTTTTTAATCCATCAGATTTGATACATGGTGAGAATAAGTCATTCGTCCAGATCCAAAAGATTTTAGCGGCTGTATAAAAAGAGGACATAATGAGCTTTATGTTCTGAATCCTTTTATTAGCTCTAAATTCATATCTTTTCCTCCATTCTCCTTGTCATTCCCATTGTTCTAATCTGATGCCTCTTATTAGCTCTTGTCAGTAGGTGTCACTTCTTGTCACTTACAATAGTGCCCCTTTTCCAAGCCCCACATCACTTTTTGGAACCAAAGTCTTGCAATCGCTCGCTGGTGCACGAATTTCATTATGCTACTCAACAATGGCAGAATTTCTGTGGTGGCCCCTAAAACTTCGCCTTTTTCCCATGCTTCAAAACACGGCCCACTTCATCATGATTTTCCTCTTTAATGAACATTTGCCAACGTATCATGCTTATCACAACACTCACCATTCGTTGGAAATCAGGCAACTTAGCGGTTTGAAGAGTTTTCTGGTAACAATATCGAGAATCATCAGAGTGAGTTGTCTTACATCCTGATTCCGTGAGCTGCTTACATATCGCGTCTATTTGCGCGACTGTCTTATATTCCTCAATGGCAATTTTATTCTTTTACCGAGAGTTTAGCGGTCGGATCAACTCCGACTACATCCTAAGGGATAGCAACATCTTTGCTCACTAAGGTTTAGCCCACTAATTCTTGGTCCACGGTGGTCAAGTTCAGTCGCAGGCACAGCAAAGATGCAGCTCCCCGTCGTTGCTCCGACTCTTGCATTGAATTTTGAGGCCTTCCTGAAGCGGGCCTCCTATGGTACTATCATCGGCCTGGCTGTTATCAGGTCCTGCTACTCACCAATAATGTTCCTATCCTGCCCCATATATTACTTCTTGAAAACAACATTCTACCTTCTCTGTGACGCGCACTATGATGTTGCTGAACTTCCCTTTCTAAGGCTCCTTAAGGTATCTTATCGGCTGTTATCACTTCCTGCCACCGACCAATAATGTTCCCATCCTGTCCTCTACCTTACTTCTTGGAACCAACGCTCTACCGCTGCTGTGACGCGCGTTGTGAATTTGGTGACCCTCACCTTCTAAGGCTCCTTATGGTATCTTATCGGCTGTTATCACTTCTGCCCGACCAAAATAATGTTCCCATCCTGTCCTCTACCTTACTTCTTGGAACCAACGTTCTACCGCTGCTGTGACGCGCGTTATGATGTTGCTGAACTTCCCTTTCTAAGGCTCCTTAAGGTATCTTATCGGCTGTTATCACTTCCTGCCACCGACCAATAATGTTCCCATCCTGTCCTCTACCTTACTTCTTGGAACCAACACTCTACCGCTGCTGTGACGCGCCATAGGCTCGCCGTTGTGAATTTTGTGACCCTCACCTTCTAAGGCTCCTTATGGTATCTTATCAACTGTTATCACTCCCTGCCACCGACCAATAATGTTCGTGCACGACCCCCTACATTACTTATCAGTTTGAGGGCTCTATCGCTCTCTTGAAGGAAGTTATGAATTTCCGGTCAAACACACACAGACACACCATTCCACACACACAGCCCAACCAGACAAAACTTAGCGGATTTCATATAGCTAGGATTTTGACTTTATTCAAAACTATTTTCGAAGCCTAATTAACGAGCACCTCATAAACTATGCATGCTCGAAGTTACAATCAGAACGGAGCCCATTAAGATAGTTAAAATCGCCCATTCTTGTCAAATTCTTTTCACTCAGTTTTTGACCTCCCCAGAAACGCATAGCAAAAATGAAACCCATTTTTGTGATCCTTGTATGGACCCCTACAACAAGCAACAAACCATTTCCAAAAAGCGCGCCACGACCTGAAAGCCTTTTCTTGTAAGACACAAGTGTGCAGCCTTGGAAATTCTAGAATGACATCGCGGTGGAGACATGGTGAACGTCAACTTAAACCTCATATGCAAGCGTTTGTGGGGCGTCCCGTGTGACATTTCCTCCGAATTATCCTTGACTATGTCATACATCCCCTTAACCTGTAAGTAATTCGAGGGATTAAAATACCCTGACTTGAAGAGAGCCGTTCATCAAAGATGTCAGGATTGGGAAAAGTCTGAAGATATAGAGTAGAAGCGAAAGCAAAGGTTCAAAAATCGGCGCGCCATTTGGTTGACTCTTCCCTTTGATTTGCATCTGTCGCACTCTAACGAGGTACCCTTTTTTATATAACCTTAGGCTACAAAGAGTGCACAGCCATCTGGAGGCATATTTCGCAATAAAAATCGCGAATAGTGGAGCTCAAAAACTCAAGTATATATGCAAATCAACTAACTAGTCGAGAAAAAAAAACAGAAAAAGCAGTCGAGAACACCCCACAGTCCCACCGTTTGAGCGCAAGAATTCGCTGCCACCGTGATTAGCTTTCTTATTTGGCGGCATTCTGCTTTGAAGACATTTGGCACGATAATTTGGCACTTGGCCTAAAGGCTAGCAGAGCGCTATATAGTGGGAAAATGGCGAAAGAACGGAGTGAAACGGTCAAAATCCTGCGAAGAAAAAGCCTTCGTTCTTGATGAATAAAAATCAATTTCGGACGAGTTTCCCATAGGCATCTTGCCAGTAACCCTACCTAAGATAACGTGTGTACCCATATATCCATGCCGCGTCGCGGCCGCTTCATACAATCCCTTTGCTTCATAATTTGCTTAGCAAATGAATCAATACGAGCGTCAGGAACGGTCGTCCATTTGTGGGCGGGCGGGTGGGCGTTCGGGTCGGTATGTTGTAGCTTGATAGGGCCCTTATAAAGGCAACTTCCTTGGAAAGGGCGCTGGCAGTGCTTTCTCAGGGACGCGGAATTCCGTCCTGCCAGGCGAATCAGTCCCACTTGTCTTTAGGGATTTATCGTGCCAACTGCCTTTGAGACAGACCCCGCGATTGTATGTACAGGGGAGGGCCAAAAAAAAGACATTTCGACCGAGTCACATAAGCAAAGTTTTCGCAGCCCAGACAGAGAACGTGGATACGAGTACCAGGGCGGAGGATACCCAAGATGTTCCTCTATAAGCAGGAGCTGGCGCTCGCCCATCACCTTCATGTACACCAAAATATGAAGTCATCTCCAGTCGCAACCTGACTGGAGAAGACCTTCGGAATTCATGTCACCTCCAAACAGCTGCGAAACTTCTAGTATGGAGTCACCCATGGATAGCTACCTGGAGACCAGTACTCTCGATCTGGAAGACCTCCATCATCGAGCAGCTCCGTCAACGTCGCTACGGTCCAGGACATCATCTTCACCTCAGTCGCCAAGGCGCCAGTTGATGGTGGGGACCGGACGTACCTGGAATGGAGAGACCTATATTTTCTCCGCGGGCCGTACGTTCTTGGAAACTTTGTACTGCTACAGCGCTTTTCGCATTTCGTAGGATTTTCCTTGTTGAGTTCCGAACACATCATCGGAACTGCTAGGGTTGGTTGGGCGCTTGGCGGGGTAGTGTTCATTTCCCTAACTCGAAACGCGTTTAGGCCTCTGAATAAGACGACCACGTCGAAACGTTAGGTATCCCACCTAAAAACCTCGAGAGGCGCAGCAGTATAAACGAATCATACAACGATGCCGAAGTTACAGCAAGAGAGAAGCTGGAGATTGCTATGAGAGTGTGCCATAATCATGATTGGGATACTGATTGGCCCCAATAGATCACTCTGTCAGCAAGTTGTTCTAAGTGCGATGCATTTCTACAGCATGATGGTTTTATTGATTGGCTACATTACAGCAAAAGGTTGTACAAATAAACTACGAGAGCCGTTCATGGCCCAACCATATGCAGGAATTCGTATCTCTACAGGGATATATAACAGGGAACTTGCGCAACAGTCAAAATGTAGGAAAATTTCAGTTCTGAAGAGTATGTCACGCAGGCCACAGGGAGCAGACAAGCGTGACACACCATGTATGTCACGCGAGCCTTAAAGGCAGTTGGCACGATAAATCGCTATACAGGTGTAGGATTTGTACAACTGGCTTAACAGAATTCCGTGACCTCGGACAGGCGCTGCGTGAAGCCTTTTCCAAGGAGGGTACCTCTATAACGCCCTATTGAGCAACAACTTTACGTCCCAAACGCCTTCCTTGCCCGCCCGCCCACAAACGGACGACCGTTTCTGACGCTCGTATTCATTCATTTGCTGAGCAAATTATGAAGCAAAGGGATTGGTATGAAGCGGCGGTGATGCTGCATGCATATATGGGTACACATATGCAGCCGTATCTTCGGTAGCGGTGATTGGCAAGATGCGTACGGGAAACTCGTCCGAAATCACAAGTCACTGAGAACGGAGGCTTTTTCTTCGCCGGATTTTGACCGTTTCACTCCGTTCTTTCGCCATTTCCCCACTATACAGCGCCCTACTAGCATTTTAGGCTAAGTAGGAAACCATCGTGCCAACTGCCTTTAATGTGTTATGATGCTACCTATCTATTCCTATTTTCTCTTATGAGTGAGTGGCTAAGCTGAAGCTAAAGTAACTGCTCGCTGTCTCTTTGCCACTTGAGTAGAAGCCGTAACGAGAGAGTATGGAAACACACCAGTATTACATCACTACATTCGTACAACCAATAGTTTTTAGCATGCTCACATGCTATTTTACAAGCCCCATTTTCAGCTTCAAGCAGTAGTGACGTCCGAAAATTTCGCTGTTTGCCTTTCCCTGATCTTCCTGTGATCACTCGGTGCACAAAGCTTTCGTATCTCCCTGTGTTTTGGGCTTCTTTTCAAGCATATGTAATGACTATCAACTATCCCGAACAGATTTCTTTTGGTCCGGACAGGTCCGATCTGAAATTTCACTGCCCACAACTAGTAGCGACATTGGTCACAATATTACCTTCATTTTCAAGATGTGCTGTCACGTATACTCCTAAGAGCGAGAGTGCGCGGCTTCGCGCTTCATTCGATCGTAGGGGTGCCTGCGCTTCTGCTGGGATATTTCCAATTTGCCACTTGCACCATCATTTACTTGTTCAACACTGGACATGATGGCAGCAGCCTACGAAGGAAATCATCCTAAAGGAACGCATCGTACCCAAATGAAGTAAGCAGCCACGCCCACTCCATTGCCGGCATAAGCTGTGTAGTGTTGTTTGTATGGAAATAAATTGCATTCAGCGGAACCTTTTATTCAATATGCCAAAGTTACCAGAATGGGGAAGAATTTGGTTTTTAAATGTATTCTTAACAACGCCACTTCCACTCTGATGTGCACTACCTTTGCACATCACCCGCAGCGAATGCAAGTGCTTGGAGATCACCCAAAGGGGCAGCTTTTTCTGCAGAACCTGCCTCCTTCGACAGGGCATCTTTCGATCCCTGTTCCTTGGAAGCTTCTTTTGATCCCTCTTTTGAACGGTCTTTTGTTGTGGTGTCTCTCGATTCTCTCCGACGTCGTCGTCCAGCTTTGCCCCCTTCTAATGATTGCTGTTCCAACTCTTGTGCAGCTTCTCGTACACGCTGTTCCCATGTCTTTGCAAGCCGTTCCTGAAGCATAGAATCCCAACCTTCATTTCTGAACGAAACAGAAGTGATTTTACCTTATAGTGCTTTTTCCGATGTCTCATTATAAGGAGCATGATAGCTGTAGAGATAACAATGAGCACAACGATTGCGGCTAATGCCGCGATGAGGATTGTTCTAAAAACTGATTCAGCAGTACTTGACTTAATGGGAGACAATAGAGATCGCGGCGATGCAGATTGCTTCTAAAAAACTGATTCAGCAGTACTTGACTTAATGGGGGACAATAGAGTTTTGTTTAGTGTTGATGAAGGAAAAGGGTTGAACTGAATCCATTCCTTGAGCCTCGGGCGTCTAGCGAATCAAACACATTGAACATCACGTGAATCGCTGACCATGCACGCACCCATCCCCGTTTCCTTTTTTTCGTCCCTGTTTTTGCATTGTGCGCAATGCAAACATTCACAGTTCTTTTTTCCAATTTTGCAATCGCAGTTCGTAATCGCATAAAACTGTTCCTTATTCTATGTCAGTGTCCTGGATTTATTGATCTTAAACTTTCTAGCGATTGTTTGATGTTCATATTGCTTCATTTGCGAAGTAAAATATGAAGCGAATGGATTGATATGGAGGCCGCGTTGCTGTATGGATATGAGTTACACGTGCAGCCGTACCTACCGTAGTTATTGGGAAGATGCTTTCACTTTTTCGTTCATAATACAGAGCAGCCGATAAGATTTGATAAGAATTCAAACGCGTCCTGTTGTGGTAAACTACTACGACTCTAGCTTCTGATATACAAGCTATGGGCAGCACTAAACAGTTGACATCGTCGCAACCAGTCGTGCGGTATTTGGAGGAATGAGCTCGATTCGGTCTGCCTTCTCTATTCGATCCCTGCTCCTTCAGTAGTGGTCGTCGAATGATCGAATTAGGAAGGTTAGAGAGAGAGAGAGAGAGAGAGAGAGAGAAGAGAGAGAGAGAGAGAGAGAGCTAGTGGCGAAGAAGCCGCGTGGGGGCACATTCTGCCTCCAGGCACAGCCCCGACTGAATCTACGTCATCAAAAGTAATGTTGCGGGTAGTGGCCGAAACTGCTACATTCAGTGGTATCCCGTCAATTTCTATCGCAATTATCAGCTCTTATCAACATTACCAGCTCTTGTCAGATCAGTTGCTGTCCTGTCATTTTCTTCCGCGTACCATTGATACTCCCGCTCACTATCAGTGAGCTTTTTCATGCATCTCCTGTCGCACCAGCTTCAAATTCACTCACGCACACACACATGCTGTACAGACTATCTGAGTTCGAGTATCATTTCCGTGCGAGGCGAAACGCCATGCTACTAGGGCTTGAAGACAGTCGCCGAGCTTAAGGAAATTGTATGTGTCTTTGATGAACAAGTAAAATTGCTCTCAATGTTCGAAATCATCCCACTCTCGCGGCTTCACAGCAACTAACGGGAGCTACGGTCCTCTTAAGTGGCAACTTTGACGCCATCCCAGTTGCCCCCCCTACCGAAGCTCAAAAGCAAGCTTCATTTTTCACACCACATTTTTTGTTCTTTTTTTATCTGTGATCATTGGATGAGGCGGAAAAACGACCAGTGAAATAGAAACGGCAGGATTTAGTTAGAAATGGCAGGCTTGTTGGCGTGAACTTGAGCAGGCCCGGAAAACTCGTCTGGAGATACTGCCAGATCCCTACATAAGAAGTTTTCGACGATTTTTCATGTTTTCTTTAGTGTCAGTTAGCGTCTTGTAATCGAATTCCATTATCCACAATATGCAGTTGCGGGCTTTGTCTTCAGTGCGCACGTGGTCAGCAATCACCTTCGAACACCTCGAAAAAATTTCAAATTTCCTCATAGACGAAAAGCTACTTTAATAATGTTTACGCCCATTCGAGGTTTGGAGATATTCTCCAAGCCACACTCAGCAGTGCAACAGCTCTTCTTATTACTTACGAGGAATCCACTCGAATCGTTCTCCTTGCCATCATCCTGCGAATTCTGTGTCTGGAATGTGATTTCAGCAGATGTACATTATTTCATGTTGAAGATTTATGAGGATTACGCCATAAAGGTTTCTGTTGGCTGACTGTGTAGTTGTACTCACTTTTTACAAAACTACCTTTTGAGTCTCCGTTTTTATCTATCATTCAAAATTCGGGTACTCATAGTGCGATGATTTGGATGACACATCGAAAAGGGGCAATGTAATTTCACGTTGCGCTTTCAAAACTGTGGAAACTCTTAGTGGCGGGCAGGTTACCCAGTTCAGGCAGGTCGAGCCAGCCAGGAAATAAGCGGGCCAACCAGCCTTCATTTACCACTACTTATAGCTCTTATTTGCCAACATATGATGTTACTCGTGTAATCTCCATGTTCCTTCGTGTATTCACTCTCGCCCGCATACGAAAGGATCATTGTATCTCTGATTGTTGTGTAGACGCTTCAAAGGCCGTGTGGGTAACATAAGGGAATAAACGGAATACGGTTGTCCGGAAAGTTCTCAGCGTTTTGAGTGTTTCACTTTAAACGATCATAACTTTCTTAAGCCCCGTCAAAGAAATAACTGGGTGGTCGAGAATCCACGGTATCTACGAAGGTTTTTCTTGCCTGGTCCTAATTGATGAGGTATTTTCCAGCAAGGAAAGTTCGTAAAAATCTTTTTGAAAAGGGATGATGGTCGCTGATGAAAGGATCTGGAGAATATCGGGTGAGGTATATGCTTGCTAACCGTCATTTCTGAGTTATGGCGTAGTATTTGTTCGAGAACTGTGTGGGCGCGCGTTGAGTCATGCGAAAGAATCGCACCCTTGTCCGGTGTGAAAGTGGTGGCAGCTAACCAGTTTTCAGTGCATTTACGTGCGGTTCTCTCGCCAGTAGAGGGTTCTGCTTGGTGCATGGTTTGGCTGGTGAATAAAAAAGTTATAGTGGAATCACAGGCTACCAACCGATGACAAAACCAAACTTGTGATCACAACCTTTTTTTCGTTGACGTTTCGGCTTTGAGAATACCTGCCTCGGCGATTCATCGGAATTCAACCACTATGCTGTGAAACGTCTCCCATGTTCATAATATGGATCCACTTTTCATCCAGCGGTGAAGCAATTCGGTCCGTTCTTTCTGCCGCAAAAACACTGGAAGAAACCTCGAGAGTTGCCAGTTTCTGCCGCTCACTCAAATGGTGGGGTATTCACTTGTCGAGTTTTTTTTACCTTTCCAATGCATTTCAGACCATCCGCAACAGTGGATTTGCCAACGCCTAGCCTTTCTGCAATCTCTCGAACTGTTTGGGATGGGTCAGCCTCCAGAATCCTGTTTGAATCCTTGTCAGGTATTGCTTTAGGTCGACCGCTACGAAGGTTACTTCAGGCTGAAATCCGCAAGGAAGAATTGTCGAAGCCATTGGCTCGCACGATGCTATTCTCCCACCGTAATGGGGCCCAACACTGGTTACTCGTGATACGAGCATAAGGTTGTCGAGTTGTCTTCGACTGGCGGACCCAAGTTTATTGGTTGAAGCACAATATCGTCCGCGAAGTTGCTCTTTTGACATGCTCCAAAAAGTCTTGTGAAAGAGGGGGTTGCATCAAGCAGTGCTAAAAGCTTAAGCAAAACGATATCCATCAGATAGGCGGCAAAAAACTTTTTAGGATGTACTACTGAGATGCAAGGGAGATTGAGTTTTTAATAAGCAATGAATGTACAAAAAATAGTAGCACAAAATGCTAAGAACTTTCACAACCTAGTACTAATACATTCAGACCCTCCCTGTTTACGCTCTTATTTTCCATAAGAAAGACCTTTGTTATTTCTAATTTCGTATTATCCTACTATATATAATCCGCTAAGAATGTCTGTAAGTGTGTGTGTTTGTGTGTGCGTCTGTCTGTCTGTCACGAAAAATTCTAGACCGTCGCAGAAAAAATAGGGTAACGACAGTTTCCCGCAAGAAGTGATGATACATGGCACGGACGGGATACACTTTTTGGCGGTGATAGAAGAGTGAATCAGCACTGATAGGGTTCAAAGGGGGCCCGCCCCCGTATAATAGGGGAGGGTGGACCCGACCCGTGAGTGGCACAACCATGTAAATAGTTGGATTACTATTGATTCCAAGGTATGATACAGGACGGCGAGATCAGGAACATATGATTGGGGTGGAGCAGGGAATGATAGGAGCACTGATAAGATTCGTCAAGGAAGGGGCAGGGGGGGGGTGAATACAGCCGTAGCCTGAGCGACAGCAACAGTGCACCTTGTTCAAGAGATTCATATTTGATGCGTGAGACAAAACATTTATTGATCGGCGTGAGAGAGAATCGATAGCCAGCTTGATAAATTCGAGTGAGAGGGAAGTGTAGAATGGTAAGGTCAACATTAAGTCCCAATACAAGGCAAAGCGAACACGGATGCATTACACCTAAGGATAGTAATGTGTCAGAAAAATGATATAGATTGGAAGATGGAGACGATCCGACACCTGATGGGTGATAAGCAGCTTGATAGGAGGTGATGTTGTAGAAGGACGTTGTCAATCGGCTGATTCATTGTTCAGAATGCTGGAGCCTCTCTACAACTATCCGGTAGAAATCTAGAAGTTTGTTAGGTGGATCGGTACCTGATGATCGGGTGACAGGAGTATTAACTCAAATGTGATAAGAAGAGGGATAGAGAGGTGGCGCCATTATCAATATGATCCAGGACATGGGGATCTCACTATGCACTATAACCCCACGCGATAGTGATCAACGGATCAGATGTGTCATTACTTTTTGCGCTTTGGACTATCTCTTTGCCGCTGATACGCCTAAGAAAATGACTTCAATTCCTTGTCATTATATAGTAAGACGGCACACATTTAGTGTGTCCGGTTTGTATGGTAAGTATGAAGTATGTAATGCTCTGTACTCGTAGGGGCAAAGATGGTGTTTACGTGGTTCGAGAATATCATGGGCGGGGAGAAACGACCGCAAGGCATAACCATGCGATAAATCGCCTCTCGGGTGCAGATGCTATATCAATGCACGCTTTCTTGATTGTTGATAAGCAGGCCCATGCCACTTCACATAGCAGCGCGAGCAGAAAATTCCCATTTCAAGGTTACAACACTTGCTGGCCGCGCGCGCAGCATTTTGTTAGGGCAGAGCGTTGCGAGCAGCTGCACTGGCGTGATGCATGGCAGTGCTCGTGGGGCGCAAGGGGCGAGGCGGTGGGCTGGAGCCCAAGGGGGGGGATGAGAAGGGGTGGAAGGAACCTACCGACTCCCTATGCCAGTACGTGGCTAAGGCGTCGACCTGAGTCAGTGAATAGTTGCAATGTGAAGGAAGTAGATGGGAGGTGTGAGCGATGAGGCGGACGGGGAGCGCAACGAGTCACGCTGAGTAGATAAATAGCGTGAAGAAGCAGGACAGGAGAGTGACATCATTCATACAAAACCGGAAGAGGTAAATCCAGAATCGAGTAAATTAAGATGTTGTTCTGATTGTGATAACACCTTCACCCTATACACGACAACAATTTAGTACACCCAAGCCATTGCTCAAGCTCGCTCCGCGTGGGCAGCCTAGGAGTACAGACTGGTTCGACGGTGGTTCTACATCTATTCACGACTCGATCATTATGGTATGGGAGTGTGTACTTTGCCTGCAAAAGGAAACTCCGGAACAGAAAACCTGAATAATGCTTCGCTTCATGCGTCCAGCAGCACTTTTTACTTTTGACCATTCAATTACAGATGAGAACGAATAACTAGGGAGTGTAGTACCTACACACAGCACTCACAATTTCGGTGGCCAGGTGATGTAAACGAACTCTATTCTCTACTGTGTGACTCATGATTCACATTGCGCTGTCATTCGAGACATTGTATGCTAAGTAGTGCAGGATCCTAAGCCTTGCTCTATCTGTTACGATTCGATTCCTACAGCGCCGTATGAGCAGCCCACTATTAAAAAGGCTCCGTTAAAATTATGGAGCGCGCCTGGCGAAGCCAGGCCAGCTCGGCGAAGCCGAGCTAAAGAGAAGGAGGAGAGCTCGGCGTTAGCCGGGCGATCCGACTGGTCCTACTCTATAATGTCGATGTCGATGAGCGGGGGGGGGAAGCAGTTCGCCTGAAACAGGAATCCCAGGGAAATTCAAGAAATTCGAGGAGAACCGAAAAACACTTCAACGAGCGGAGTGCATGCTAATAGAAAGGAAAGCTTCGTCGGTAGGCATTCCGGTGCAGGTAATGGAAACGAAATCTGCTATTTCACTGATTCATATTGCGCTGTATTGGCCGACTACACATTGTATCTATCTACAGATTTATGTATTCTATGGGCGTCATGGCGCGGACTACACCGCTGCTGTAAATAGAAGCGCGTGCTGAGTTGTGCGGGATCCTAAGCCTTGCTCTGTCTGTTACGATTCGATCACTACAGCGCCTTATGAGCAGCGCACTACCGAAAAAGTTCCGTTAAAATTATGGAGCCGCCTGGCGAAGCCAGGCCAGCTCGGCGAAGCCGAGCTCAAGAGAAGGAGGAGAGCACGGCGTGAGCCGTGCGATCCAACTGGTTCTGATGTAATTCTTTTGTTGTTGCTGTGCATGTTAATGCTGACGATTTATTCATTAGTTGTTGTGTCATATCAAACCACCTTATGAATGGAGATGTTTTGAGAAGCGAAATTCAAGGAAGTATTACTGCTTAATTCTGCACGTGCCATGACAAAACACCAAAGCTCTCCAGGTCTTTTCACAATCTTGCTCAGGGCGTGTCAGTTAGACCTGGTTAGACCTGCTTTGGCGTGCCGCGAACTCCTTCGTCACAATTCATGAAGGAGTAAACAATAACAACCCCTGGAAATCATTGATGTGAACGAAATCTTTTGGTTATGTTGCCTCTTGCAAGGAAAATAAGTGGAAGGAAGAGGGCTGGCGCTGCGTCAGAATCCATACCACCTAGCATGCCCCATCATCGAAGAGACTGTGCAACGTTACGACCTTTTTCC